CTTTAAGAAAGAAGGTGCTTCTTGCCGCTTTATTAGTAAGTAAGCTTGTTTTAATCTTCTCAATAAAGGCGAAAGATCACTCCTAAAAGCAAGATTTCTCGTACATACGATACCATACCACATAATTTCATTTGCCTTCCTGCTTAAGGCACTAGTTCGGATGGAAACCCTGATCAGGCAGGTGGCCTAGCTAACATAGCTATCCATCAGAAATAGTTGCATTCCATTGCAGGCTACTATAGAGGCATATAATTTTCCGGGTGTTAAGAAAGATATTGAATCGAAAGCGGACATGCTTGCTCACTGGCTAGATCGGGCTGCCTGTACCTTTGCTAACTCTTCTGCCTTTAAGGAAGCTTGAAAGAGGGAATTCTCTGATCTATGACCCCGAAAGAAAGATAGTCTTTTTTTTCGATTCTGTGCATTGGAACTGAAAAGGGCTAATCATAAACAGTCTTCCTTGCTTCTTACCTCTTATCTTATTATAGGAGATAACCGAAGAGAGAAAAGTCTTCCTATCAATTCCTTTTGAATAAGGCTACGCTTCGTCAAGCCTTTGAAACTATTGAAAATAGAATCTTTTTTTTCAGGCGGGTTTTCTTCTCCACCAACAACCAAGATGCATGAAAGCGGTTTCCAGTGCTGCTGGGCAGAAAGACATGATGGCATGAAACTCGATTACGTACGCTGATTGTTCATCCACTTCAAACGTTTAAAACAGACCATTTTCCGTGTGAAATGACAGGGATTGGTTTGGTTACTTAGGGAATCCCAAGCAAAGCAATCTACGCAATTTCCAGGTTCAGTAGTAGGAAAGAAAGGGACCTCTCACTCAATTCAATAACATGTTCTAGGGCATATTATTATAATAATAATGTTCGCATTTGACCAGGCATTTTGGACGTTCCATGATTAAACCGACTAGCGGCACTTTCGAGATGCCACCTTGTTTATAAATATAAAAAAAAGTCTTTTCAATTCCATTTGACTCGGGGAGTCAGGGACCCTCCAACAGAAACCTCGTCTTTTTTGTCGTCGATAAGTTCTTCCTCAGTGCCCTACTATTCATAAGAAATACTGATTGTTGAGAGACTGATTTATGAAAGCCCGGTGAGGCTTCAACCGACAGTGTTGCTTCATTCTGCGGCGGTTTTCAAGCTAGCACCCGTTTCAGCATATCATCTCCCTCGATTCCAAAAAAAAGACGTTGTGTTTGATTATCCAGTTCTATATCGAAAATGAGCAGTTGATCCCACGAAAGCAACACTGGCTTTGTTGCGGGTTCAACTGGAATTGTAAGAAGTGAGGTAAATTGAATTTCTCCCCATCGCATATGCCTCCTCTACTTATGCCACTTGTGATGAACTCACTATGGCTATTCAACGTCAAACTCAGAGTTTTTCTTACTACATAGGAGGCTAAACGAAGCCCCAGTCTTGATTTGTCAAACCCCAACCCCCTTATTAGTAGCCGAAGTAAAGGCCAGCATGAGATCAAAGTCACTTGCCATCCGTTCACTCTCTGAAGTTAAGAAAAATGAACCATTTAACCTTTTAACCAGTGTATGCTAAGTAGTGGCAATAAGAATCTGAACTTTCTGAAATTGGAACCAGAACTTGAATAGGAAAACAAGTGGACACACCTGCAAGGAAACCCATCTCGAAACCAGCGAGTTGCCTAAAACCTCCCTTGTTGTCTTGCTTGCTTTTGGATAAGAAAGACTAGTAACTTTAACCTACCTTCCTAGCTTTAGTTGCCTTAAGGCTTGTCTTTCTTTCAGAACCTTGTTACTTTTAAGCTGTCTTTTCGCCTGAGGCTTTCGGACAAGACTACTTACTCAAGTAGGTTAGTAAGCTACCTCTTCCGCTTTCAGGCAAGGGTAGCTCTAAAGGGAGAGTTGAGCAGAACCAGGCATAAGGAGCAATAATCGCTATTGAAAGTTCCCCCGCTAAGGGAACGCCAGGAGGGGGACATGCTCTATCTCCACTGATTCTGTTTAGTACAGTATAGGAAGCCCTTGTTTGAGTGAGAGCTTCTAGAATGCCATTCATTTCGCAATGAGAAACTTTTCCACATAGAGGTTTCAGCTATTAAAGCGAGAGTGCATCCAAAAATTCGAGAAGAGTTCTCGGCCTTGGTTGAAACAATTATAGGTGTCAATGGACCGATTTCACTAGCAGAGCACTTTCTCCAATGCGCGCAAACAGCGATGCCACTTTCAATGATGGACGCCGGCCCTTGCGTTAAAGTAGCATCGTGTTTCGCTAGGAAACCGGCAAGTTTCTAGTTTCAGAATAAGTGGTACCCTTTCTTTAGGGTCCGGTAGGTTAATTAAGTTGTCTAAATCTCTTCCTTATCTACTGATCTGTAGCTGCCTTCCTCGCTTCGTCTTCGGCTTTCAGAGTTGTGAACTTACCTCTTCCTTTTACAGCCAGACAACTGGCAGATAAGCTGGCCATCTAAAGAACATAAGATCCGAGTTGCCACCAGGCATAAAAGTCATATTGTCAACTAGGGAAATTGGAACAACCAGGCATCTCAAACATTGATAAGGGAAGAATCAGGCTTTCATTAGGATGATATTCCTTTCATCCGAATGGCAAGGCCTGCTAGTTTCCTGAAGTACACTCGCATCTGTCTATCTGTCATAGTTGCTTGGAAGGAAGGTCTCAGATGTACCTTCGGCATGTAAGAGATTTTCTTTCTTCTATCTATGTCATACTTGGGATTCACTGACAGCCAATTCCAAGTAGATCCTCCCTCCCCCTCGCTCCGCTTCGTTTCGCTCGTTTTCTCTTTCCTTTTGCCTGCAAAAAAAGTTATGAGATTGGTTTTGTGTGCGTTAGCGATCATCAAACCTGTGACATAGATAAGATTTACGTTCATGCAGTTGGAATGCCTGAGACCACTTTTTGCCTTGCTGCTCTTGCTTCTCTGGCTACTGCTCCGGCTAAGGCTTTCTTTCCGCTTTGACTTGCCTTCCTTATCTTTCAATCTGGACTTGCATGTGTTCCGCATATGACTATTTCGAGTGATTGCTGCTATCTGGCTTGAGTTAGACAAGCAGAGAAGGATCTTATGCCACCGGTGACCGGCCTGTCTATCTAGTATCTAGTACTAGGACTAGTAGAGTAGAGGCACTACTGGGCGGGGCTTCCTCGATCACAGCTTCTCGCTTAGCTAACTGCCAGACAAGGATGCAAATCAACTCCTTATATAGAATGCAGATCGACACATTCAATGAAGCAGCCAGTACGGCAGACAAGCTACTTTCTTATTCTAGGACTGGAAGATCCTCTATCTATTAGCATACCCGTACCGGCAGTTAGACTAGCACTCTCTCCCCAATCAATCGCAGTAACTGGCTGTAAGAGAGCTGACTGTCTACTATCTATGTCATGCCTTGGCAGGTGAATATGAGAGAGAGGCTGTAAGTGCATTCTCTCCTTCTCCATCTTCTGGAAAGCACTCTTTGAGCATGCTGACAGAATGATTGACACTCACATCTCTCTCATTTCCAGTGATTTCGCTACAGTTTACTAGCGCATTCCTAGACTAAGACTACGGCATTGAAGAAGCAAGCTCACTCTCATTCCAGGAATCAGAGGAAGGCATTCTGTCCGGTAATGAAGTTAGAAGTTTCCGGCTTGCTTTCTCTCTTCTCTTGCAGTTGGCAGTCTCAGTCAACCTTGTTCCGGGCCTTCTCTTCTACTCTATCTGCTTATTGGATTGGTAGGTACAGTCTTTCTTCTAGGCTTCTGATTGAACTTTAAGGTAATGGGAGAGAAGGCAATCGACAGATAACTGGTAAGTAAAGCTATGGACTGGGTTCTCACTCTAAGCCAGTACCAGTAATTTGAAAAAACGATAGACATCTAGCGCATTCACTCGTTTTTTCTTTCTGATAGGCCAACTCAAAGAGGGAAATGCAAGGGGCGTTAGCGGTCTTTTTTGCCTCGCCTGCTACTGGGAAGAGAGAGCCGCTGTCATTCTTCGCTTCGTTCGAGAATCAACTGCACATGAATAGGCTCTTCCTTACGCCTTCAAGGAGGAAGGGGCTTTTTTCCAAAATTCCCGGGAAAATGAAATGAACTTCTTTTCGTAAGGCAAGAAAGTCGCCTAAGGAAAGTAGAAGTCTATGCACACTAACCGAATCTTTGGGGAAGGATGGTGGTGCAAATTGGCCTTTTCCCTTCTCCTTTCTAAAGCAAAAAAGAATGTCATCATTCTGATCGTGACTTGAAAAAAGAAAGAAGAGAAGGAACTTGGAGTTGGCGCCCACATAACGGATTGCTTGCTTACCAAGCCATCCTGGCTTTTCGCTCCTTTCCTTAGAGTCAAGTGGCTTTCACTCCTCCAGTTCTATTATTATTGACTTGACTTATTATTATAAAAACTACTCACTATCCAAATGAAAGACGATCGATTATCTACCCAAGAAGATAGAGAGTCCCACATACGAGAAAAGGTCACAAATAGAGTTGAACCAAGTAACATTGCAAAGGCATAATGATAGTAGGGTTGGGATATCCCCGCCCTCCGAACCCGACGTGAGGGTCTCCCCTCATCCGGCTCTCTGCAGGGGAATCTTCACTCACTGCTTCCCCTAATATCCTCCCTTTACCATATCATGGGGGTTTACAGGAGATCCCAAAGGCTCGCTCAGAAAGGCTGCTATACCATACCTTTTGACTTAACTCTACTCTACTAGTCACTAGACTCACTATAGTAGTTCGTCTGGCTGCTCTTGCTGAAATCATTACTCTTAATTCTCCCGTGCTCTAGAAATTGCGCTCCCTATACCACTACCATGTAGTTAGGTAGGGACAATTAGTCCGTAGTGACGGGAATCTAGGAATGAATGGGGATCCCTATCAATATAAAAAGAATATCCAATTAGAGTTTTCTCCCTTTCTCTCACTCAATAGATCTATCTGGTCTGATACGGCACAGTACAATATGAGACGATGGAATGCAATGGGATAGATGGTAGAGGGCTG